ACTTTCTATCAAGGGTCTTCTTGCTGTTACAAAATCCTACATAAGATCTCTGTGGGACTTCAAATGATCAAGCTATTTTTATGTAACTACTTTGCTCCTAAAACTGACAAAGCAGCAGACGGGGTTGGGTTAGGTACCTGAAATAAGGCCTAGATATTGCTTGTCCTGTACCTCATGTATGGCAAGAAATGTCTGCTGCCTATTCCTCTCAATGTGAAGGAGGTTTTTAACATAATTTACTAACAGCTAGTAGACCTCCGGTAGAAAGTTCTTTCAGCTCAACTAGTTGAAGAAATGAAAACGGCATACAATATTATTCAAATACCTTTTATTTCTTCCAAACTAAATAGACTAGGAATTATCATTCCATTAGATTTTAAACCACTTGAAATATTCTAAAATTAGTATTCTTACCATTTTAATGATTGTGATTAAACTACTTAAGATATGTCCTGCAATGCTTGAAGAAGATATATGAAATGCTGTTGTTGGCTACCAAGCATTTGGTATTTATCCTGTACATGAACTTACAGAAAATATACACAACTTTGAAAAAGTAAATACATATTCTGTTCACAAATTGCACAATATCTTCATTACATTTAAATTTATAATTTAAATAGATATAGATTTGCACTATTATGTACCAGAAATAACTGCTCAAAAAGGAATTCTTAAAATTACCTTTAAGCATGGGAGAAAAGATTGATTGCTTAAAGGCATAAATCTAAGGCATAATTACAATAGGATACACAAGTTGCCAATTGTGGAGATTTGAAAACATAAAATTACAATTTTATTCACATAGTCAGAAATCCTACGTGTACTATTAGGCCATTTCGAAATCAAAACTTTGTAGGTAATTTTTTTTTTCATATTTGAATACATGTTCATCTTGTATGAAAGTTTGCAACTTCTATAGCACCCTCAATTGAACCTGTGACCGATCCATTATTATATTTCACATCTCTCAATTATGAGCTCATCTCCTGGATAAAATTTGTCACAATAAGCCCACATTGCCTTTTGTGATTATTCTAAGAACAAACACAATGCTGCACCTGTTGACCGAATTTAGCTGAGCTTTTACAACAACCGGACTCTTGTGAAATCAGAGCTGTCATGTTGTCAAATATATGAATTTCTTTTGATTCTATTACTGGACTTACAAAGTTCAAACTAAGATGACCAAGAGCTTCAACTAGTCACTGGTGTAACATGCAAAAAATTACAGAATGCTGTTGCAACTTGGTCTCGTCATAACCCAGTCAGTCCAGTTTTAGAATAAACAAATTATATAATATATTCAACTGTCTCACAACATTCTGAAACTCATCAATGAGAAAACAACAACACATTTTCACCCTGTTGAAAATGTGTAACCTGCATGGCACTCTCAACATAAATTGTGACTGTCAGTCACATTGGCAGACTTCAATCAACAACTCCCATTTTCACTCAGCATGGATGAGATACTAGTCCTTGAACTTTTATGCACCCCCAAACCTCTGACCCTTTCTATGTCTGCCTCATAACTGGTGGAAGTCTGCACATCCTTGTCCATAAATACCACGTCCACCTTACACTTATCACATATGTACATTTTCCGGGGCTTTCTCTGAGGATCTGGCTGTGTCAGCACCTTGGCTATTAAAGTCATGGGGACAGATTCCTGTCTATTTTCCTGATTGGCCTTCTCTATATCATCTGTTGGTTTGTTCACTGAATACACCATGGCAGTAGGTGGGAAAGTGGGCATTGGAACCCGTATCACCTTGGTCTCTACCTGACCAACAGGGGGGTCCTCCATATTGATTATCTGTTCCCTCGTTAACTGAGATTTCACTCTCTCTTGTAGGTCAATAGGAAGCTATAAAGAAAATTTTGTGAATTGTGAAAATTCTCAAAATCAGATTTCAGTGTCGATTTCATTGTGAAAATCAATACATATTACAACACATTCCATGCAAAGAAATTGCCACACTATTTATGATAATGTTCAACCAAGCCTTAGCTTTGATTCTGATCATACATTTATTCAACACAACACCTTGGTAGAGTCCAGAACAAACATTGACATCTGTTTTGTTCTGGACTGTACCACTGAACTGGTTTACTTACTGCGTTCAGCCTGTGGGCAACAAAATTGGATGGTTTGCACTGGAGTAGCTGCACAGCAGTATTACAGTCAGATCTGTATCTTTCCTACAATGGAAAAAGATAAAATAATGCCTAAAACACCACAGGATTCTTCATTTGTCAAAAAACAAGCAACAGGTACTTTAAATCTACATAAAATTACAGCTACATGATTATTTTTAATTAGCCTTTCAATTTAGCTGTTTTTTTTTTTTTTTTTTTTTTTTTTTTATGTAATCATTTCCTCTACTTACACATTCCTCTTCAAGGTCAGTTATCGTGATCCTTGCATCTACTAATTTTGTGGTCATGGTAGCAACGTCTTTTTGTAATGCTGTTTTATCCACTTCAAATCGATTTACCTAAAGAAGATTGACAACTAGATGATATTCCTTTTCAATTGATCTAGAATATTTATTCGACATTTGAACCTATTTAAAATTTTAGTAATTATATGGAAAAAATTTTGCATTAACATCTTAATCAAAGTACAAAATCAGATTCAGAGATAAAACAAATGAAAATACTTACTAATTTTAGCAATTTATCCTCCAATCCTTGATTTACTTTCTGCATTTTCTTGTGACCTTCAAGCAACCTAAAACAAGAGAGAAATGGAGCATATTTTCTTCAAAGTCTGTAATTAACAATCCTGTGAAAACAATCCTGTGAAAAATAATTATCCTTTATATAAGCATATCATTAAATTTGGTATACATTCATATAATATAAATTCGATATTTTGGATATTTTTCTTTGATAAAAACTTATATTTGAACTTAAAAAACTGTATCCTTGGGTGCTGCCATTTATAATTTGCAAAGCAAATTATGAGAGATGAATATAAAAAAAAAAAGGATATTGCTGACAAAAATATCCCCATTCTTTAAATGAGCAATCAATCACCAAGTGAAAGACTAAGAGATCAGATTTTAAAATGATTCATCAGAAAACCAATAACAACTCTCTAACCTGTCGTATCTTTCTCTCAGTTTCATCAGCTCATCTTGCAGCCTGCAAACCTCCATCTCACCCAGGCGCTTGGATTCTTCATGGTCTACATTCATCTGGGTTATTTTACCATTACTCTGCAGTAGTTTGCTCTTCAGTTCTTCTATCTCATGGTGCAGGTCAAGACTACAATGATAGAAATATTTATGTAATTCCATAAAACCCTTGCCTATTACCTATGCCATACATTATTGCAACCCAAAGACATAAATGCCTTCAGTAAATCATGTCAGGATAGAGAAATTATGTAAACAGATGCTGCTTAAGATAATGAATATAACAGTAAAATCTGTACAAATCACAAACATCCAACACAGCTGTGTATCACAGTGACCACTGACCATCACAGCGTCTGAATGACCACAGACGCATCAAATATGACCAAGATGTTTGCATCAGAGGGCTTTATAGACTTATAAGATAAATATTTGCATACAAACCTGATGTAATATGCAATATACATGTAGCCCTGGTAAAAAATGTCTAATACTGTCTATTTATTCTGTTATACTTTATCTTCAAATATCATGCATGATTCATAGCAGATTCATGTATGGTTTATGAATACTGGTATCAGGCATATTCTGTGCACTATATAGAACTGTGCTTTAGGAGAACTAAATTAAAACAATTTAAGTAGTACTTATCATACATATTGATTTGGCCAAAAATCTAAGTGCCTCTCATACAAAAAGCATCAGAGAGCAAAATTACACATTAATTATATATCCCTGTCATCAACACTGCTTAAAAATTGGGCATGATTTATGGCCAAACACAACAATACCTGCTTAAATGCCTCCAGCTATTGCCACATACATAACCTCAAACAAAAGGTATGAATACACATTTATAAAGAATAGGATTCCATATACATATATTGATAATAGGTGAGACCAACAGGCACATAGAAAGATGAAAAAGCTGATAGGGCGAAAAAAAGATACATGTTCATTATAGCACATATGAGAGAGAGAGAGAGAGAGATGGATTTCTGATTTATTATTCCGTTATCCAACTCTCTCCTAAAATATTAATTTGTGTTTTTCCGTCACCCACGTATTTCCCAATCTAAATCCCTGTATAACTGTTACTGACCAGCAATATTTTCCACAAACATGGTCCTACGAGCTGAACTGACTCCAAATTCTTCAACCATCTCAATAAATTATCAAATATAATATAAAAAAATACTGGATAAATAAAGTAGACTGATAATTGTACTCATGTACAAAATTAAGTATAGTTTCCAACATGACAGTGGAACACGAACATGTTAACAAACATGGATGTTTCATCTACACACTTGAAAGAATACACCTAAAGCCAAATTTCCACTACTGCAATGCAAGCCTTTCTCACCAAGTCTTAATTACCATCTCACCTAGCACCTTCTTCCATTTGTTTTGCTCCAGTACAGCCTTTCCAAGCATGAACAGGCACTGGCATTGCTTTTAATGTACCAGCATGTCATACAGGAAGTGCCACGATTTCTCCCTTTATATATATTCATGACAGTAGCCATAGCAACAGTTAGTCTAAGTAACTGCGGGCTATATGGATTGAGTGATAACCTTGTGCTCTTTTTTTTTTTTTTTTTTTTTTCAGTATTGAAAAATGAAGAGGAGAAAAAGCCTTCCTCTTGTCTGCACTGGGTGGTACACTATCCAATACTTATTGTGCCAAAAATGGATTTGTAGCTATCAAGTTGGGCACAAGATCGCATGCATGCATGAGCGAAAATATAACTTGAGGAATATATTTGTGAAAATGTGAAGCAAGAACAAAAATGAGAGAACAAAATGAGACACCTGATAACCATTTGCTATATTTCTTCATAGGTTAAGGATTGTACCTGCACTGTAAAGATCTTATATAAATGAATTACACTATGCAATCTCCAGACTTTATATCCAAACCAATCAATTCCAGATAATCTTCAGTAACAATCTGCAATCAAGAATATTCCTTCTGTGGCCTAAAGAATTTTAAGAATATTTTTTTTTTCAGTCTTGTTCTAGATTAATGATTTTATCTTCTAACTAGTTTCACTTGTAGCATACATTGATAGAGATTCACTTGTAGCATACATTGATTTATTACAAATTGATAGAGATTTATAACTCTCTTTCTTAAATAAAAAAAGTCAATACACATTTATAAGTTAATTAGTTTTCCATTAATTCTCATTATATACCCAAATAAATGAAGCAACAAAAATAAAAAAATAAATGCCAAATTTTACTGATGCAAGCCAAAAGACCAATTGAAAGTACGTAATACTAAATGGCAAACGTTGAGTAAGAATTGAATATATTAACCATATATTGTGAATAGGATAAACAATATTTTCATTACTAACCCAACCCAAAAAATAATCTTATACATCATTAATAAAACTGCAGCAGACCAATTGCTGAAACAGCTGTCTCGTGGGCAGTAGTACATTGAAACATCTGTGTCTTTATAAACAACTGACATGACATTGAGGTGTGTGTGCGTGCGTATGAGAGAGAGAGAGAGAGAGAGAGAGAGAGAGAGATCAGCAAGCAGTAGACCTACCTGTTAATGTTAGAACAGCTGGCACAGTTGCACCCACATTCCTGCACAAATGGAAATATAATATGTCTATATATTTAAGAGATGTATAGCAGCTTAATTAAAGCTGTGGGTGTATTTTGAATTATTAAAACAGCTTGACTAAACAGCTTGGAAAACATTTGCTCATAAAATGCTTTCAGTGCACCTCATGTAATGATTTTCGTGTTCAAATTGTACCTGGAAACTTCAGTTTATTAGCTTAGGTCTGTTTATGGAAGTGTCACTCTGAAACTGAATATCACCTTCATATTTCACACACACATGCACGCACGCACACATACACACAAACACACCAGTTTGACACAAAAAAGTTCTAAATAAAGTTTTGAAAAAGGAAGAGGTATAGGTGACATTGGGTACAAAAAACAATAAATGAAAAACATGACCAAAATCCTTTTACTAGTAAATGAAATATTCTGCAACACTTAATTGCTTGATATAACAATATTTTAAAAGATGTTGGTCCTCCTTACCCTGCAGACCACCATTTTGGGCATGACAAGGACGGCTCTTTTCATAATTCGTATTGCACAAAATAGTCAAAGGGTCTTGAATGATGATGACCTGAAATAATACAGACAAAGTATGATATGCATAGTCTCAGGAAGAACAAAATGGGGTTCTAGTAATCAATTAGAAAATATCTGACAAGAATTTAATTTGGTGACATTAAATAATTGCAATTTTGTTAATATGGATTATCTGATGTGGATTAAATCAAAATGCATTTCTTCCAAAAAATCATAGTTAGCACAACTTAACAAAATTTGATATTTTACTACACTACTGTTAAATGGATAACATGATATACATGTACATGTTAAGGAGCAACTAATTAATGTAAAAATACCATTTCATCTATCCAAATTAAAATAACTTTAAAGTAATTGGCTACTATGTACTGCTCAATACCACATCTTAGACTAACAATGTTCACTCGCAATTTACATAGCTTTTTTAGTAGATACTTGATTTCTATGCTACAAATACACCGAGCCACATTGGCACAAACCTGTGCAAATTATGATAATCAAGGCATTGTATTCATTATGTCACAAGTTCACAACACATTCATATGTGGGTACATGTAGTTTCCATTGCATGTGACAGGACCATTCAGTTAGACATTTACATTGAAGCATCTGATGTGACCCCATCTGTTTATTGGCCTGTATCAAGAGGCCTACACCAATATGTAGTTCAGTTGCATTGAATAATCATACTATACTGTGCACATAAGGAAAAATATGATGCACAACAGATGGTGTTGTTACTATAAGTAGTTTAATAACAGATGAATATTGTTCTTATATTTAAGATAATACCACTGGCTTTCATAACATAGAAACACCTTTTATGCAATCTTCACAATAAACATGTAATGTGACAATTGCAACATAAATTACTGGGCCAAAAAATTACTAACAAAGTCAACAAATTATGCAAGTACCATATCAAAAATAGCAACTGTCACTATTTAAATCAATAATTTATCTTTAAGAAATTATGATAACTAGCCGTTTATTAGATCCACTGCCAAATTTAGAGTTACTATCTTCATCTCTATTAGATGTGGTTACAATAAAAATAAAACAGACCAAGAAGTGTAAAAGTCACTGCTTTGATTTAAAGGCAAAAGTGCTGAATAACATTTACTGGAACAAATTCCTCAGTCACAGAATCAGTTTGATCATACTTTTTATACATGTGTCAGCTTCAGATTTTCTCCAAGTAATAATGAAAAAATGGAGGATTTTTTGCTCTGTTTTATGGTTAATTGGGTTTTTGGCACTTTGGAGTTGCTTCCTATCATAGATATAAATTCAGTCTTTTATCCAACTTGATATTGCACTGCATAGGTAGGCACATTTTATTTTGAATTGAAGACTCGAGCATTTGAATTACACAATCATTTTTCAAGATTAATGTTTGTCCTCTATTTTGTAAACCTGGCACTCTAATAATTAACCATAAAAGGTGGAGGGCTTTTAATGATTTTTATCCAAAGTCCAATGTCAACCTTACCTTGTTCATTCGTCAATAATCTTGTATTTCTTCTTAGTTAATGCCAAATGTAACTGTTCCATCATCCATTGCCATTATAAACTGTGTGTTAGCTTTCAAATTCTGATGTTTTTGTCACAACAACTGGAATTTACATCATTTATTCATATCTAAGTCATATAGTAGCAATCAATGACAAGACTAACCTTATTTTGAAACAAGTAATTAACCCCTATGCCATTAAATATATCTAGAATCATTATTTCCAATGGTGAATGAATTCAATTTTGCAATCAAGCACAAAAGGTTTGTGGAAATATGACCAATACAAGGTGTTTGACTTAAAAAACCAACCACATATCTCAGTAACAATTTTTACTTAGAAGACAGAATCAATGACAATGAAGTTAATAATCCCAGGGGCCTTATTTTTGCCAAACACAATAGCTGTCTAGTTAATATCATTTATTGATTTTCCCTCCTTAAGAATCAATGTAGACCTGATCAAGGAGATATTTACAGCTACACACATGCTACTGTACAGAAGAAAATGAGTTTCCCACATTTTCAAAAAATAATTCAACTTTGTTCTTTCAATGAATAAAATGTCTCTAAATGGCACTGGTCTTTCTTCTCCAACAATATATTTCAAAGGAACATACCTTTAAAGGATGAAGGATTTTAAACTTCAAAATGTAAGAATGAACACTTCCACATTCCTTGCATACCTTGTGAAAAAAACATGCATAAACATAAATTTGAAAAGAGATCCATTTTAAAAGCTGTGTTATTCATTATTCTAATGCTTTTAGCACTTTGCCTCCATTTCTTTTGAATAAACATTGTTTTAAAAAAAATTCATGCTAATCTAACCTACACAAGCATATTCCACACCATGTACATTGGCATGAACCAGTATACATTACCATGCACTGAATATATATGTCACATTCATGACAAGGAAGTGCTACATGTAATAGAACAGACCTGGACAAGGAAATATTTAACAAGCTTTACCTTATAAAAATAAACATCAAGTATTTGGGAAATTTTTAAACGACAAACATTATAGTCCATAAGATTCCTAAGAGAAACGATGGCCAAGGATCTACAGCTCCCACTATTCTTTATCTTCTGTTCAATCTGAGTATTGTCTTACTCTTCAAACAGATATTCAGTCTAGCAAAACAAAATACATGTATATCATAACACATACCAAGCATTCAGATTGTTTAATTTAGCATCTTTTTTTTCTAATCTTTTTGACAATCATGAAATTATTTTGCTTTGGAACTTACTGTGTATCATAAAATTTTGAAGTCAAACTACTATGATATACTAAAATAAAGTTTTATACACTAACATAAGTGATGTTGCACTTCAAATCTTTAAAAATCTGCCATCCACGCAGTACTGGGTCAGTACCTGGCACCTATACTCGCTCTACCATGAGTTGTTTACACCCAATTTCTGAAAGTTTTGTGACAATTCAAAACATTGTCAAATCAAAATTATGGCTTGATGAACATTTTTTAATTCAAAAATGACTTTTATTTAGTGAGTGTAATATCCATAATAATGTTCAGCATTTTGTGAAAAATGTAAATTATTACACGATAGCTGGAACTTAAAGTATATTAAGATGTGATATCATAACTCCACTTTCCTTTATCTAGATATGTATACAAAAAAAGTTACAGCACTACATGAACATATGTATGTGTTCATTGTCATGCCTGAGTAGAGACTAAAACGGTTATGTAAGCATAATAATATCTCTGCCTTATCCTTAATTATGTAACTAATATTCCCCTATACATGTTGCATGCAGGTGAATATTGTATATGCCCCTAACTGAGGTACTCAGTATTAAGAAAACCTGTCCACTCATCTGACTGAACAGTACTACATGAGCTAGCACAAAAATTCATGCGTTAGCACTCCTATTGACGATTCTGATGTGTACTGTGTTAGCACAGACAGTACATATCAGAATCGTCAATAGCAGTGCTAACGCATGAATTTCCGTGCTATACATGAACCAAATCCATCTTACTTGTACATAAACACATTCTGTAAAACAGCTTAAAACAAGGACAATTTGCACATTATCATGATGGATCCCCTTCTGATACTCAGTACCTGTCTGACAAATGCAAAAATGCTATAGGAGTAACAGCTAGTACACCAAAAAATAAAATTAAAAAAAAACTAAAAAATAAAATAAAAAGCCCATGTATTGCTGAGGCCACCTTTATCCTTGCCACGGTTGTGCTACATNTCAACTTTGTTCTTTCAATGAATAAAATGTCTCTAAATGGCACTGGTCTTTCTTCTCCAACAATATATTTCAAAGGAACATACCTTTAAAGGATGAAGGATTTTAAACTTCAAAATGTAAGAATGAACACTTCCACATTCCTTGCATACCTTGTGAAAAAAACATGCATAAACATAAATTTGAAAAGAGATCCATTTTAAAAGCTGTGTTATTCATTATTCTAATGCTTTTAGCACTTTGCCTCCATTTCTTTTGAATAAACATTTTTTTTTTTTTTTTTTTTTTNTCGTTTTTAAAAAAATTCATGCTAATCTAACCTACACAAGCATATTCCACACATTGTACATTGGCATGAACCAGTATACATTACCATGCACTGAATATATATGTCACATTCATGACAAGGAAGTGCTACATGTAATAGAACAGACCTGGACAAGGAAATATTTAACAAGCTAAATACCTTATAAAAATAAACATCAAGTATTTGGGAAAATTTTAAACGACAAACATTATAGTCCATAAGATTCCTAAGAGAAACGATGGCCAAGGATCTACAGCTCCCACTATTCTTTATCTTCTGTTCAATCTGAGTATTGTCTTACTCTTCAAACAGATATTCAGTCTAGCAAAACAAAATACATGTATATCATAACACATACCAAGCATTCAGATTATTTAATTGAGCATCTTTTTTTTCTAATCTTTTTGACAATCATGAAATTATTTTGCTTTGGAACTTACTGTGTATCATAAAATTTTAAAGTCAAACTACTATGATATACTAAAATGAAGTTTAATATACTAACATACTAGTAAGTGATGTTGCACTTCAAATCTTTAAAAATCTGCCATCCATGCAGTACTGGGTCAGTACCTGGCACCTAGACTCGCTCTACCATGAGTTGTTTACACCCAATTTCTGAAAGTTTTGTGACAATTCAAAACATTGTCAAATCAAAATTGATGAACATTTTTTTTATTTCAAAAATGACTTTTGTTTAGTCAGTGTAATATCCGTAATAATGTTCAGCATTTTGTGAAAAATATAAATTATTACACAAAAGCTGGAACTTTAAGTATATTAAGATGTGATATCATAACTCCAGTTTCCTTTATCTAGATATGTATACAAAAAAAGTTACAGCACTACATGAACATATGTAGCCTATATGTTCATTGTCATGCCTGAGTAGAAACTAAAAGGGTTATGTAAGCATAATAATATCTCTGCCTTATCTTTAATTATGTAACTAATATTCCCCTATACATGTTGCATGCAGGTGAATATTGTATATACCCCTAACTGAGGTACTCAGTATTAAGAAAACCTGTCCACTCATCTGACTGAACAGTACTACATGAACTAGCACGAAAATTCATGCGTTAGCACTCCTATTGACGATTCTGATATGTACTGTGTTAGCACAGACAGTACATATCAGAATCGTCAATAGCAGTGCTAACACATGAATTTCCGTGCTATACATGAACCAAATCCATCTTACTTGTACATAAACACATTCTGTAAAACAGCTTAAAACAAGGACAATTTGCACATTATCATGATGGATCCCCTTCTGATACCTGTCTGACAAATGCAAAAATGCTATAGGAGTAACAGCTAGTACACTAAAAAAATAAAATAAAATAAAAAATAAAATAAAAAGCCCATGTATTGCTGAGGCCACCTTTATCCTTGCCACGGCTGTGCTACATGTACACGAGGGGGGGGGGGGGGGCTGCCTGCCCAAATGAAAGTTTACAACATGCAGTATTTTTGTCTTTCTATATCAATGATTGGGTTTCGTATAGCGTAGTATCGCTATCTTACTTAAATGCTTATTTGAGACTGACTACCCAGAACTGTATCCCGAATATGGATAAATGTTGTCACGTTGACGACTGGGTTTTTTAAACGTAGACTAGAGTCCCTTTCTTTTTGTTTGGAAACGAAAATAACAAGTCGATCTAGACCTCAAAAGAGACGTGGACGGTTAAAAAATAAATACCTACAACTTACCCTGTTGTTTCTAAGTATTTTCCAAAACCAGACTCGGCAAAAATAGCTTCACCTCACCCCTGTTTTAGGGAAGTGTCAAAATACACGTCAACAACAAATACAGCGTTGTTTCCGCTTGGGTCACAGCTGCGCACAATGGAGCACTGAGGGCATCTGTCATTTTCAAATGAGAAATGTCGTGAGGATGGGAAAACAACAAGCAGATAAATTTACTTAAAGCACAAATATACAACTTATTTGTCCAGTGATGTAAAATAATGATATATTAGGCTTATTTTACAAAAGTTCCACTTTAGTAAATATTATGGAAGGGTTTTAAAATTGCATTGTGGTTCCAAAAAGAGGTTCTTCCATGGAGAATGCCATGTATAATGAGTGTTATAATGTCATTCTCCCTCAGTGTGCCTCGTTTTAGGTTATTCCTGCCTGTTACAATGAAAACATTAGGTATATGTCCTTTTTTGCTTTTTCGACAAAAACAAATTTAATTGAACAAAGAGAAATATAGATAATAACAGTTTGACATGAGCTACACTTTAAAAGGTACATAAATATTCCCGGATTGCATTGTTTTTGTTTCATTTTTGGTTAGGGGCAGGTATTTCCCATCGTGCAATGCGTCTTTATTTACCGGAAGTAGAGTTTTAGGATGGAGAAGAAATCAAGATGAGTAAAAATCCTTTTAAAACGTAACAAAAGAGCACTTATGTTTTAATTTTTGTATAAAGGACACTAAAATGTGCGCTGCTGGACACTTAGATATCTCCAGAAGAAACCCCCAAGATGATTTTGAGCTTATTCAACGCATTGGAAGCGGGACCTACGGTGATGTGTACAAGGTACTGCTCTGACTGAAAAATTTTGGCGAAATTGAAAAGATGCATACCATCTAAAGTGTCGTTGCCTCCGTTATTTGTCCTTCCAGGAATCTTGAGTGAAGCAATACGGAGCTTTAAGAAATCTCACAATTTTACTCGGTTAGATATAATCTCTCCTCTCAATACACCCCTTTTGCCACGGATTGGTTGTTATTGAGTTATTTGTCCCTTTTCCCCTCAGAATACATTTATAATTACGTTTCCCTATAATTGCTGTTAAATGCATTGACAGACATGTTGAGCTGACCCCCACCCTCCACATATAAATCATTTGTATGTATGTATTCATTATATTTTAATTTGGAAACTATCAAATGATCTCACACAGTGTCAGGCCCTCCCTAACACATCATATCATAATAATATTTTCATTTTCTCTGTATAATATTACCTTTTTGTTACTTTGTTCTGTTTTTATGTTTTTAAAGGTGAGCAAATAATGCTTGTAGCAAATTGCCACCTTTGTATGCAAATGTTATTAAATATTCTTTCTTGAACTAATAAATTTTATATGATTTTTACTGACCAGTTTATTCCTTGAATTTTGAACCACATGCTGTAAGCCATCAATATTATGAATTCTTCATAATGCATTTTGTTTAAAATCCCATTACTGGTCCCTTCAACATGCTTTATGTTTCATATATATGTATTAAAAAATCATAGAATATATTTTGTATATATGTTTAACATTACTCCATTATCTCTTAGAGTGATATCAATAATATGTTTGAATTTGTTTATTATTAGGCAAGAAACATCGCCACCAATGAACTGGCTGCAATCAAAGTCATCAAGTTGGAACCAGGTAAAATTTCAATAACAGTCTACCATTAGTTTGTCTCATTCTTGTACACCATTCCTTGTTAAATATTTTCCTGGTGTATCTTTGATATCTTGTAGAGCAGGTTTTCTGATTGTGTTTGGCAATATTAAAAAATATGCTAGTGTGACTTAGGATTTTGTTAAGAATAAACACAAGTACTGAGATATCAGTATGATAACTTTATTTATCAGCACATTTATAGATACTTCAAAGAATGCTTTCAACTTTTAGGAGGCAGCAGACTTGCTTATAAATATACATTAGTAGATTAAACAAGCAATTGTCTAATTGACTTCATAAGGTCATCAGATAACAGTGGAACCACCATGTTGACATAGAATAACAATATTAAAGCCTCACGTGATGCAATTATCTGGACATCTGGGTGTGCCAACAGCTTAATAATTGTAATTTTAAAACATAACATATATGCTTGACCTTTAAATAGTGACATGATTCTAGCACACTAAGGCTTCGTTCACATGCAATGTCTATTTTCTAAATTCTATTTTCTATTCGCGCTATCTTATGATCACGGTCTGTGCACTGAATATCCCGCCGCGTAATTACTGGCAGCGCGAGCCAGTTACTTACAGTAACTTATAGTAACTGGCTCGCGCTGCCAGTAATTACGCGGCGGGATATTCAGTGCACAGACCGTGATCATAAGATAGCGCGAATAGAAAATAGAATTTAGAAAATAGACATTGCATGTGAACGAAGCCTTAGTGTGCTAGAATCATGTCACTATTTAAAGGTCAAGCATATATGTTATGTTTTAAAATTACAATTATTAAGCTGTTGGCACACCCAGATGTCCAGATAATTGCATCACGTGAGGCTTTAATATTGTTATTCTATGTCAACATGGTGGTTCCACTGTTATCTGATGACCTTATGAAGTCAATTAGACAATTGCTTGTTTAATCTACTAATGTATATTTATAAGCAAGTCTGCTGCCTCCTAANGGCGGGGCGGGCCAGTTACTTCCAGTAGCTTATAGTAACTGGCTCGCGCTGCCAGTAATTACGCGGCGGGATATTCAGTGCACAGACCGTGATCATAAGACATGCCGCAAATAGAAAATAGAATTTAGAAAATAGACATTGTATGTGAACGAAGCCTAAGTGAAGTATTTTGTTGTTTTTTTTTTTTTTTGCATTGTGAAGCTATTAAGATAGGTTATACAGTTTCTAACAAAAAAAAGGTACATGTGACTTGACATGTTTGTCTGAACCAAACATCATGTTTCTTTCATGTTTAAGAAAAATATGAAAAGATTATGTGGATCAATATTGATATTTTGAATATTTCTGAGATGCTGTGTGTCATTTGAACCAAGCGAACTGTCTGTTGCACAAATAGTCTTACTAGTACTACATAGTATAAATCTAGGCTGTCCAAGAGGTAACTGTGCAATGAGAGCCATGTCTTGTATGATCAAATAAAATTTTACTGTTCAAGTGTAAAACAAACTTCATATTAAAAAGGTAACATCACTGATCATTATAGATCAAATGTTGTTCTATATTACAATGCATCAATATGCAACTGTGTCACCCTATTTATCATGATTGTGTGATTTCTCTCTCTCTCTCTCTCTCTCTATATATATATATATGTAAAGACATATGCAAGTTTNCTCTCTCTCTCTCTCTCTCTCTCTCTCTCTCTCTCTCTCTCTCTCTCTCTCTCTCTCTCTCTCTCTCTCTCTCTCTCCCTGTGTGTGTGTGTGTGTGTGTGTTTGAAAGAAAGAGAGATTATGCTTAAGAGTAGTGTATGTTCATATTTTTAATCATCCATCATAATTAATGAACCAGTTTACCTCATTTTTGAGTCCAGAAAATTGCATCAAATATTACTTGGATACCATTGATCCAGTCTAGCAGAGCACATAATAAATAGCAAATATGATCCTTATTGATGGGAGTTTATGGGATTGAGAAGCAGTAAGTCTTGAAATATTGTATCTAGAATCAAAAGCCAGGCTCCAGGCTCCTTTTTTGCAGATTTTCGCGTGCCGTTTTAAGATCAATGCTTTCTAGTGTACAGAAGTCATTGTTCTGGATTAATGGGGAAACCATGCCTATGTGAGTCCCTAGATCAATCCCAGCAGCATAAAAGTGGCAGGAAAAAAGATCAGGGCATTTTATTAAATTAGCAACCATATTGTAAAGATACCCTAGTGAACTTATGATCTTGAATTTATAAGTTCAGCTATTTCGACTGATATAAATAAATCATAGTTTTAGACATTTAAGTTTTGTGTGTGATTGTAATGACTTGTTGATTATTTTCAGCACTGTGGTATCATATTCTAAAAACAGCCTTTTGTTCCTCTGAATTTGTACTGAGTATTTATGTTGGCATTTCTAAAATTTGATTTATTTATTTTTTCTTATCATAGTAAGTAAATCTTGTTAAAGTGCCAATATTACAGACTTCAGTTCTTGTTTTGCTCTCTACTTAGGTTACAGTACGTGATTTCTTGTAGCAAATTTCCATGAACTAAATGGTCGTGGCTAATATAGTTGCCAGCTGAGTCATAACTGCATTATTTGGGGCTGTATCAACTGTTAAGTTTACTACATGAGCCTCATCATTTGGCCATTCTGCAGAGCATTTTAAACCTGATTGTTTCTTTTTTTATACCACAAATACCTTGCCCCCATTTTGCATCATAGGTTTAAAAGTGAGGAGCTTTTTAAAGGCAATATTTTTCACTGCTTTGTTAAAGAAACATTCTATTCTACAATGCACTTGCCAAAGTGGATGAAACAGTTTCTTAAACATGAATTTGACTGTGTATTTTAATGTTACCTTCACATAACATGTAGATAACATGTATATGAAATATTCACATGATGGTTTATGACATATGACCCTTTCCTTTCAATTTACTATAAAATTTCTGTTCATATACTGAAGAACAACACTGTTTATCCCAGGTTGTCTTGACAACAGACTAAAGACATGACCATTTATTATAACAGAGAAGCTCTGCCAGTACAATTGTCAGTGATGGTTAGTGTCAGATAATCCAACATTTGGCAACATTGTTTCATACCCAAAGACTGCACTGTGTGAATGTATCCTGCCCGCATTTGAAAAGGTGTTTTACAATGGAAACTTGGGTCTTGAAACTAAATGAGGCAAAGTTCAATGTATTTCTTCACTAACAGTCCTTTTCATGTTCCCTTGTTAATTCTACAGGTTCTGGACAACAGTGACCTGACAGTGAACACTGTAACATCTGTCTGACATGCAGGTGCTATCAGGTGTACTAGGTGTATTACATGATTCAGGTTATGTGGGAAGAAACTGATCTCATAGTAAGAGCTGTATAAGAGGCGGATTAAGCTAATATTGTTAGCAGTCCTGGTGTGAATGGTACCTTCAAGCTTCCTGGTTAAGTGTATAGATTTTGTAACCCAGAGATAAATGATAGGTTTATTTTAGATGTGAGGATGATGCATAGAGTTTGACTCCATATTACTATTATGTGCATGCATGCATGCATGTGAGCATGTCGTTTTATCAATGTTCCAAAATCCAAAAGGTTATTAACATAGTTTTTATATTGATTTATTCTCTCTCTCTCTCTCTCTCTCTCTCTCTCTCTCTCTCTCTCTCTCTCTCAGAATAAAAATCCATAATGCTTGTCAGATTACTCATCAAATAAAATCAGAACGTATTGAATAACTGTGATATTATTGATGTCGGATTACCCTGCACAACATAATAAATGTTGACATATTTGTGTTAACGATCACAGAAAAGTCAGTTGATTATATTGACAGAATAAATATATTCTGTCAAATAAAATTCCTTTCCAGATACTTATGACAGCCATTTGACCTTGGGATTTCCTTGAATTAATGTGTTAGGTTTAGAGTTTGGATTTATGTTGAGCTGTGTGTATAGAATTCAGTAGTTTTCAGTCCTAGATAGTAACATCATTCATATGGAGCATGAAGAGATCAAAATGGTTTGTCTTAATGGTAGATCCAGAAAACTAAGGGATGGGGATTTCTCTCTCCTTCCCTCCCTCCTGTATTTGTCTTAATAAAATTTAGAAAAAAATATTATTAGATTAGGGAGTCCAAAAGATGTCCCAGTCTGGGCTGTTGCCTGGCTGTAATTCCCTGGTGCAGGTTGTTACTGGGTATTGTGTAATTTTGATAAACTTAATTTCATATTGCAAAGAACAGTTGTATGTTGTACTAATTATTGTGTTTTATTGTGTGTGTGCCTGTGTCACATCCTTGGTTTTAAACATGGTCTCAAGTTTATACATCTAGATATGAAGTTGGTCAGACAGAACATATGCTTCCATTTAGAAGCACAGCACAAAGATTGTTTAATACCAGTCATGTTTTTATTATGAATAATGCTGTAAGGCATTGTCCAACATCATGAACATGAATAATAAAGCTTCTCTGTGTGTATTTGACCACTAATTCAGTTCAAGATGCATGATTCTGATCCTGTCTGTGAATCATCCAAGCATTTTCCTGTGCAGGGCAGGTAGAACATGACCCCAGCTATGGAATGCATTCATATTGAATCACATGACAATATTAGCATTGTACGGTCTACCTCATATCATTTTATATCTCAACAAAACTTCGGGCATATTTGAAGATGCAATTTTGATGCAATTTAGATGCAATTTTGAGCAAGACAATTTGGCACTTCTAAATTTGTTCAAAAAAATTTTTTTTTCATATTAAAAAAAATTGATGATAAGGGGTAGTGTAGAGAGTATTTGTCAACTTTTTTTTTTTTTTTTTTTTTTTTTTTTGNTCTAAAAGTTCTGGAAAGAATTTTACGAGATAATGGACATTGTAATGTTTGGTTTCCTGTAAAATTACTATTATGCATATATTGGAATGTAATGGTCATTCATGACTTATTATAAGCTTACTAGTAAAGAGTACATATACGTAATTAATACTTAAGTTAATGATATATGTCAGTGCATTACCTTTCCAGAATTACTGATATTCTAATTATAACAAGAAATCTGGCATGTCTATCAACGCAACTCAATGACTGTTATTTAAGACTCAGTGTAATACTTTATCCAGGATTATCAGTATCCTCATAATAACTTGAAATCAATGAGTTTAGACAAAGTGGTCCAAACTTGGTTTTAAGTGATGCAATCACAGCTCTTAAAGAAATGTTTTGATTGATTTTTATTAACTGACTATCTTGAAAAACCATAATCATAATCGTCTTATTTATTTGTCAGAAATGGAAATGTCCCATAGATATATTTGCTCTGTATATAAGTGTTTGTCATGGTTGTTAAGAAAAGTACAAAATGTAAGTCAAAAGGACAAAAAAACAACCTTGTATATTAATTGTAATATTATTATTATTTCCCATATTTATCTTCTCCAGGAGATGACTTTGCAGTTATCCAGCAGGAGATAGTGATGATGAAAGAATGTAAACATCCCAATATAGTGGCATATTGGGGAAGTTACCTGAGGTAAGAATCTTATTTTCAAAATTCCAGATAATAATTTTTAGCTGTGAAATCTTTCAAAGATCGGAACATCACCTCAAAATATTAATGTACGTACACAATGCTGTCTGTACATATGGCTATCACTTGGGTCTCTCTGTGTCATGGGAGTTAAAAGAGAGATGTGCACCTTTCTTGTTAACACAGTAACTGGATAGCAGTATCTCCCTCACATCTTTAAATTGTCAGGGATGATTCAGTGTTAAAGACTGGATTGTCAGAGTCCCATCATTTATATGTTGCTGTATTGTTTTGTCAGTCTTCATGTTTAAACTTGTTGTCTGTATACTGTTATGTGTGTCAGCTCTAACTTGGCTTGGATTTGTTACATCTGGAATTTTAACTGTTACTTGGATTGGGGTGTTTGGGTTCTAGTAGGTTCATAATGGAAATATTGATTGAATATTATGGGAGCAGATGTGCCTGGAAGAAGGAAGTAGTCCTCATTTAATGCCCTGAACAGGTTTCCTCCTTATCATTCCATATGACTATGACAGCCTGTCCTATGTATGAGTTATGGCTTGTTTTTTCAGTATAGGTAGTGCAGTAATTTATCATCTGTGATCAAAGTAGGGAGATACTCTTCTCATGCTTTGCTGGATCGTTGTTTATTTGTTTCAACAACTAGGGCCTTAAGTGCTATGTAGTCACCTTAAAACAAATTGCAATGCACCAAGTTGACTGACAACAAGATCCGAGGTGTGTATGTGAAGTCATTGGTCAGAATATGCAATGCCCCTTATCCCATCTAGATTGCATTTTTGCTGTGTTAAAAAAGAAACAGTACTTTAAGCTTCAGGCACCAGAATTAGGTAATTATGTAGTCTACCCAACTGCTACACATAGTTAAGAGATATGATATGAGAGTTTTATCATAAATCTTATGATTGCTGTGTTGTGTATTATAGGAGAGACAAGCTATGGATATGTATGGAATACTGTGGAGGAGGGTCCATGCAAGATATATATCATGGTAAGATTTATGACATTTCTCAGAGATATTTATACTTGAACAGCATTTCTCCATTGAAAGTAAAAATAAAAAAAGGAAAGAAAAGGGAAACATTACATTAGTAAAATCAATGATACAGAAATAGATATGATAGAAATTGCATCTTTAAAGAAAAAAGAAGAAAATTGTTTTTATACTTTTACATATTAAGATTGTAGAAACATTGCTGGATTTGTGGCTATACTTCAGAAATAATGTATGTGGACGACAATTTATTTACTGAATTGTCTTATTTTCAGTTACTGGTCCCCTGAATGAGTCCCAGATAGCCTTTGTGTGTAGAGAAACTCTGAAAGGGTTACACTATTTACACAATCGAGGGAAAATGCATAGAGACATCAAGGTAACCTGATAAGATTACTGAGAACCCCCTCTTAACACTTAGCAAATTAGCTTGAAACTCTTGTTAAATGTTTGTTCCTGATGAAGGATGTGTATTTTGTACCACCTGATTGATTTTTGTTGTAGGAGATAAGATAGCAGTACTCTTTTTACATTATTTATAAAACTTATGATATCACACTTGAAGCAGGGTTTATAGGCTGGTTTGTGTGCTATCAATTACAATCATCTTTTATCAAAACCTTGATATTGGATCTGGTCTTTATTTTGTAAAGGTTATCTGATCAAGAAGTAGGATTACCAATGCCTTTATATTACTTACCTCAGATCATGTTTCTTGTATTTCCATAGATGCTTTTGTAAAGGAATTACCATACACTGGCTGTACCTAACTTATATTAGATTATGTATCTTTATTATTATGTTATTATTGATAAGTTATTTATGTCCAAGAGTCCAGAATTGTCTACAAAGAAAATAAGTACTTTCTTTAGATTTTCTTTCTCTCACAAATATAGCTTTATTCTTTTTATTTTATTTTCTCATTACCCAGAAGATATGTTGTTAACATAATTCTTTTGTCCTTGTAGGGTGCTAATATTCTGTTGGATGATGATGGAGATGTGAAGCTAGGTAAGGACATGTTACTGGTGGTATTTGCCTGATTTATACTTCATCCATACAATATTAGTGGTGGCAATCACCAATGAAAAAAATGTTGATAAAATTACTTGTAGATATTACTTCTCAGCATGTTGAATTTTTATTATATAAGAGTTTTTAAAAAGTAACAAAGAAATTATTTTGATAAATAGTTATGATAACCAGGCCTTGCATTTCCACTGTAGCTGTAGTTAAGGCTTTTGTAATAAGCTTTTGCCATTTGAGGTTTTTTTGTAAATACCACTTGGGTTGGGCATATTTAAGCATGCTAGTATCCTGATTATGTCGTCAGAACTAAATGTTATGATATGGTTTTATAATCTATGCCAATACTGATATGACAAACTGTATGGTTACACCTCTTCATTGAATGAAGCCAAAGCCTAGTATGTTCCCATGCAAGTTTGATTAGATTATCATGTTAGCTACAAATAGCTGCCTTGATTGCATATTGATTTACTGGTATTGGATGAGTTATATCTTAATATTAATAGTATTTTCCTGTGCATGAATAACTCTATGACTTCAAATGAAAAGACCCATAATTTAATCATTGTACATTTTATGAGGTTGCATAAAATCATTAATTAGTACTTTTTGCACAAATGTTTTTGCATGTATGACATGTATGTGTTACTGTATTTTTATACATTTCTGCATATATGTGTTTATGTGAACACGCTTTTCTGTGTACATGAGTTTCTGTGAACATGTCAGTTTATACACAAATTTATGTGCATGTGTTACCAAGTTCATATTTTAATGAATTTCATATAGGTCCCTTTGTGTCTTAATATGAGGTACCTTTGCTGGTTCTTTCAGCTGATTTTGGCGTGTCTGCACAAATCACAGCCACAATCTCCAAAAGAAAATCTTTCATAGGCACCCCATATTGGTAAGTTATGTAATTGGAAGAATTGAGCCTGATCTTAATATTCTTACAATAGAAAGTATTTTTGTATATAGATATAATTTATTGTTTTTATAAGGTCCACATCAATGCCCATGTACATTATTTTGAATCTATTTACTTATTTGTTATGTTATTTTTGAAACATATTATCTGTAACATCTTCATAATTCAGCACATTAAAAAATTGTACAGATAAGAAATGCCTGTTCAGTGACCTTCTGGTTTTATTGCGCAGTCGGCAGGTAACCAAGATTTCTAGGAAATTGGAAACGACAACAATCTTGAGGCTGTTATCTTATCCACTGACAGTGAAATGATGATTATTTAACGGCTTTTTCTAAGAAAAAAATTGCTGCTATTAAAAGACAAAATTGCAATTGGCATCCACTTTTTCTAACGAAAGACAAAAGATAAAGACATTTTATGTATGGAAATTGAACAGACTGTTAATTGATTGTTTTCTGATTTAGGTCGAAGAATTGGTCTTTTGCACTTGTATTTATGTAAAAAGTGATCAATTCAGAATGGAAATGAAGTAAGGGTTATGTACTTTTATTTCTCTTCCAGGATGGCACCAGAGGTGGCAGCCGTGGAGAGGAAGGGGGGCTACAACCAACAGTGTGATATTTGGGCAGTAGGAATTACTGGGATCGAATTTGCTGAACTTCAGCCACCTATGTTTGATTTGCATCCTATGAGAGCTCTGTATCTCATGTCCAAAAGTGGCTTCAAATCACCCACCTTGAAAGATAAAAATAAATGGTATGAAAACACTAAACATTGATTTAAATGTCATTTATTTAATATGATTGTTTATGTTCTTAGTCAGAGTATTAAATATAGATTTAGATTTTTAGATTTTATCAGGATCAATAATTTTTCATTAGTGGTTAATAAAAACAAAAAATACTAAGTGTCACTTCCTTAGGTGAAGCACACAAAGAGCATGGTCTAATTCCATTTCCTTTACTGATACTAAAATTAATATACCCACTGTGTTTTACAGGTCTCCCACATTTCAACACTTTATAAAAGTGTCTCTTACAAAAAATCCCAAGAAAAGACCCTCAGCTGGAGAGCTTTTACAGGTAAAACTCAGCACTGGTATAGCTAGTGGTTAATTCATTTTAAAGATATAATATTGCAGTAGACTTTATAAGATGACATATTGTTTGAATTGCTGCACATATTTTTGTGAATATGTTTTCCACTCATGATATCATTGGCATGAAAATTCAAGCAGTGTCTATTAATGTATATTTAACCTAACTAACAAAGTTGTGTGAATTCCCATATAGATTTTGTTTGCTGAAATGGATATAAATTTGAAACAAAAAGAAGCAGAAATATAAGACTATTGGCTATCCTGTTTCAGCATCCTTTCCTCCAAGGGGATTTGACCAAGAGGTTATCCAAGGAGTTATTACACAAGTTCCACAATCCAGCTAATGCAATCTACCAGGACCCAGCATTAGATGCTGATGAGGAGGTGGGTATTTTCCTCTTGTCTCTGAGTGCCTTGTGTCTTCTTTATTAATGTTAATTTTTATGACTTTTGTTGAAGTATTGAAGTATGTTCAAATAGAGCTGTGTCATAATCTTAATAGTTATTATGTCAGAATTGAAGTAAATGCTGGAATAACGAATGTTTAGTTGTAATTACTTTAGCTTGAAGAATTTGAACATTACATACGAGCTCAAGTTAGAAGTTAGATTACATCATTTCATGTAAAAAATAATGTATCAATTCCTGTCCACAGTTTCTATTAGTAATTTGTAATACCAAATGAGAAAAGCTCTGTCTAATTATAGTTTACTGTTTCAGATGTCATTAGATGTTCCCAGACGGATTTCATCAAAGAATGACAAGGACAGGGAGAGAGCCAAGTCCCAGTCGGAGACTGACAGTGAGTACACATGCTGCCTTGAACTACTGCTGAAAAAGTTTTGTTTCCCCACAACTTAGAATTTGACTGTATTTTGACCACATTCTTTTTGCCACTGATGAATGTTTGGTTCTCTGATTATTATTAAGGGTTTATTCTGATCTTATATTGGATGAATAGAGCAGAGTGAAATTAAACCACATATTTGTCATTTTTCTGCAGTTGGCAACTTGAACTTAGAAGCACCCCTAGTGACAGATATAAAAGAAGACCAGGTAAGCTTGTTAATAGAATTAACTTGAAAATTGCAAGAAATGATCACATCACTGTGGTGCCAGAATGTAAATAATTGGGTCCCGGTAAATGTTATGTTCAGGGAAGGGTGTGTTTTCACATTTGAAAAATCTTTTTGCATGCATCTTTTTAATAAGGTAAATGCTACATATATATTTGTATGGAACATAAATGTTGGGTCTCTTACTATCTCCCTTAAGACAGACATATGGCCAAACACATGCAGTATAAATGCAAAATAAAAAAACATATTATCTCAACTTATCTGTGTAGTTCATGTAGTTCATATAGTTCATTTGAAATTTCATAACATTTTGTTATCTGTGTCCGGAGCTGGTTACCATACCTCTAACGTTTGTCGTCCCTGGTATGTTTAACTCCCCCCAACCCCACCCTGTAACATTAACTGGTTTAGTCTTAGGGGTGTGGTGTGTATCTTGTAGGGGGCGTCTGGGTATGAGGTGGTGGAATCCTGGGGGTTACAGCCAGAAGACAGACAATCTGAACCTGTAGATGGAGAGGAAGAGGAACAAGTATGTGGTGTGAGCTTGTATTAACAGAAAGAAGAAGGGGTGTTGATAATGAACACACTTCGAAAGTGAAAATAGTTAAACAGAGCTCATCAGTTGCGTCATGTTGCATTTCTCAGAAGGTCTTTGATGTTTAAATTCCATGTTGAGCTATCCTGTCATCTGGTGAGTGATCTCATCAACTTTTTTTATTACAATACATTTAGTTCCGTTTTATAAGATCATTTCTTCATTTCCAGGGAGAAATGGAAGACTGGAGAGATGAAGATAAGTAAGTATGAACTAATTCCACTCATAAGAGGCAGGAATGCACTTCTTGCTAGAGCCCCCT